ATCGCGCTTGATGATGAAACTCGGATTACGTTTCCCTTAAAGTTCAGAAAGAGACCGTGGTGCATCATTCTGGAAAGATTCGCTGCTGCCATCACGCAAGTGAATTTGATCAGAAAACACTGCAAGTGTTGAGGCTTCAGACAGGATAGGGCAACCCTTGACCATAAAATGCGTTGACTGTACACTGCGGGGCCCTAAACTAGGGTTTATGCCATGAATTCCATGGTGTTATGGACTGAACTGTGACACCCTCCTCCGCCCAATACGTGTTGGAATCCTACCCCCTATACCTGTGGATGTGATCCTGTTTGGAAATAGGGGTTTCTTTGTTATGTTAATTAGAGCATACCCAGTGGGGTGGGTTCTAAATCTGATCACTCCTGAGTTATCATAAAAGCCGATTAGATGTAGAGATAGGAACACAGGGGGTAAGACAGACACCGTGTGAGAATTGTCTATAAGCCAAGGAACCAAGGAATACTTGGGACTCCTGACAAGGAAGGAATTGACGCAGCCAAGTCCCGGATTTGAACTTTGATCCTCCTGAACTGTTTTTGACAGCTACCCACTTATGGTACCCCTGTAACAGCGGCACTAGGAAGCTAAGACACATGGATGTGAGCAAATTCTGACAAAATCAAAGGCCTTATCAAAACCTTTGAGGGATTTTCTCCTGCCGGCAGCACCTGAGCGTTTGCTTTCCACATCCCTTTTTTTTTTTATTGTACCTTAGATGAAGGTTTACAGAACAAATAGTTTCTTATTAAAAAGTTAGTACGCATATTGTTTAATGACAATAGTTAACAACCCCACAACATGTCAACCCTCTCCCTTCTCAACCTGGGGTTTCCTATTACCAGCTTTCCTGTCCCCTCCTGCCTTCTAGTCCTTGTCCCTGGGCTGTTGTGCCCCATTAGTCTCGTTTTGTTTTATGGGCCTGTCTAATCTTTGGCTGAACGGTGAACCTCTGGAGTGACTTCATTACTGAGCTAAAAGGGTGTCTGGGGCCCATACTCTTGGGGTTTCTCCAGTCTCTGTCAGGCTCGTAAGTCTGGTCTTTTTTTGTGAGTTAGAATTTTGTTCTACATTTTTCTCCAGCTCTGTCTGGGACCCTCTATTGTCATCCCGGTCAGAGCAGTCAGTGGTGGTAGCCGGGCACCATCTAGCTGTACAGGACTCAGTCCAGTGGAGGCCTTGGTAGCTGTGGACCATTAGTCCTTCTGACTAATCTTTTCCTTGTATCCTGTTCTCTTCATTCTTCCTTGCTCCTGAAGGGGTGAAACCAGTGGAGTATCTTAGATGGCTGCTCACAGGCTTTTAAGACCCCAGGCACCACTCACCAAGGTAGAATGTGGAACATTGTCTTTCTAAACTGTGTCATGCCAACTGAGCTAGATGTTCCCCGAGACCATGGTCCCTAGAGCCCTCTGCCCAGCAATTCAGTCCCTCAGGGAGTTTGGATGTGTCTATGGAGCTTCCATGACCTTTCCTTGTACAAGTTGTTCTGGTTTTCCCAGTATTGTGTACTGTCTCACCCTTCACCAAAGTTACCACTTATCTATTGTCTGTTTAGTATTCCCCCCCATCCCTCCCACCCCTCATAACCAGCAAAGATTGTTTCTTTTTTGCCACAGCACTTTTGAATGAAGAGGGTGCTCCAGGAACAAGGCTATGCTTCAATTTCTCTCTTCTCTCGATGCTTCTTGGTTAGCCCAGCCTCCTCTCACCAGCCCTCCAGGTTGAGAGACCAGGGACGGGGACAGGGCACTCAGCCAGGACAAGTGGCTGTCGCTGTCCCTCCTAAGGGCAGCTTCGTCCCAGCCCAGCCCACCCCTTTCTGTCTGCAGTATATTCTGTTTTAGCCCCCTAGCCAGTGGAACAGTGTATCCTGGAAGGAGGTTGGTGTTATTAGTTGCCATCAAGTCGATTTTGACTCATGGCAACCCCATGTATGCAGAGCAGAACTGTCCCTTAGAGTTTTCAATTCTGTTTGTTTTGGAAGCAGATTGCCAGAACTTTGTTCCGAGGCACCCATGGGTGGGTTCAAACCACCAACTTTTCTGCTGCTAGTTGAGTTCTTGATTGTTTGTGCTACCCAGGGATGACCTCTGGAAGGGAAGAACCCAAACCCATTGCTGTCGAATAGATTTTGACTCACGGTGACCCTGTAGGACAGAGTAGAACTGTCCCGTACAGTTTCCAAGGATTTGAACTACCAACATTTTGGTTAGCAGCCAAGATTTTAACCACTGTGCCACCAGGGCCTCTTGGAAGGGAGCGTACCGAGCTCTCCATCGTCTGTCTCCAGGATTGGCGGCTTTTACTGGACCAAGGGCACAAGTTCTTCCCAAAAGAAATTCCCTAGGAGAATCTCCAGCTTTGCCAGGAGCCCTCAAGCCCAGGGTCTCCTTGGATGCTCTCATCCCTGCCTGACTGACGCATCCCTGCTTGTGAATTGGCTATGGGCAGTGAGCGGGAGCTGGGGTCCATGTCTAACTTCCCCCCTCCCCGCACCATTTAGAAAACTAGGGCAGAACCACAGCCAGCCTGAGCTAGGGCCAAGCCCCAAACATGTCTGACAGGAAGGAGGACATGCTTGGTGGCCGGCCGGCAGTGTGGAGGGGCTGAGGATGAGGATGGAGGAAGGGGGAGTGCAGGGGAGAGGTGGTGGGAGGAAGAAACTAGTTCACCTCCACTGGCCAGCAGGTGGCCACATCTGGGGGCTGTTGTTACAGGCCTGCGGCCTGGAGGTGGCGTCTGGACTGTGCAAGTCAGGAGAGAGAGAGCTGGGGTCACAATCCACATTACCAGGTGTGAGAGAAGTCTGGTTTATGAAGGCAATGAGAAAGAGAGCCCAGGGAAGAAGAGAGAGCAGGAGAGAGCTGGTGGGACTTGGTGGTCTGGGCTCCACAGGGAGGGGCCACAGAACAGGAACTAGTGGAGACCCATGGGCAGCGATGTTCCCAGGGTCACCACTGGGCAGAGGGTGAGGGAGGAGGGAGCCGGAAGTGGGGCCACGAACGCCTTCAGGGAACTTCTTCTGAGGGGGGCGCAGGGCCCTCAGGAGCCTGTAAGGGGGCAGTCAGCAGGGATGGGAGTTCAGCTTAATTTTTTTAGATTAGAAAAAGACTTCAGGATATTTGCAGTCAGGGTGGAAGCCAGCTACAGTGGGTTGAGTGGCCTCCCCCAAATTCATGTCCACACAGACCTGTGAACGGGATGACCTTATTGGAAATAGGGTCTTGTAGATGGAGTCAAGTTAAGGTGAGGTCATACTGAATTGGGGTGGTCCCTAAATCCATTGACTGGTGTCCTTAGGTCTTAGTCATCTAGTGCTGCTCTAACAGAAATACCACACGTGGATGGCTTTAACAAAGAGAAGTTTATTCTCTCACAGTCTAGTAGGCTACAAGTCCAAATTCAGGGCGTCACCTCCAGGGGAACGCTTTCTCTTTCTGTCAGCTCTGGAGGAAGGTCCATGTCATCAATCTTCCCGTGGTCTGGGAGCTTCTCTGCGCAGGAACCTCAGGTCCAAAGGATGCACTCTGCTCCCGGCATTGCTTTCTTGGTGGTGTGAGCTTCCCATGTGTCTCTACTTGCTTCTCTCTTTTATATCTCAGAAGAGATTGGCTTAAGACACTATCCAATCTTATAGACCTCATCAGTATAACTGCCAATAATCCATCTTATTACATCATAGTGATAGAGTTTATAACACATAAGGAAATCATATCAGATTACAAAATGGTACACACTTATACAATACAGAGAATCATGACCCCGCCAAGTTGACAGATATTTTTGGGGGACACAATTCAATCCAGGACACCTTATAAGGGGAGGGGGATTTGGAGACACAGAGACACACAGAGGGAAGTCAGCCATTGGAAGAGGGAGGCAGAGATTGGACTGGTGTGCCTATAAGCCAAAGAATGTCAAGGATTGCCAGGAGCCACCAGAAGCTGGGAGAGACAAGTAAGGATCCTCCCCTAGAGCCTTTGCAGGGAGCGTGACCTTGCCGATACCTTGGTTTCAGACTTCTGACTTCTAGAATGTGAGAGAATACATTACCAGGTTTGTGGGATTTTGTCACAGCAGCCGAGGAATGCTCACACAGTGCCCCAGGGAGTGAGGGTCTAGGTGCAGGAGGATGGAGGGGCTGTTTCCAGAGCACGAGGAGGGAGGAGAGGCTTGGGGGGCCCTGAGGCTGGCCCCCCAGACTGGGCAGAGGGCTGGGCTCTCAGTGAGGGGCTCTGCTCTGCTTGCACCTTCCCCTTTCTCTCTGCCTCGGGAGACCCCACCTTGACGTCCTCCACCAGCCCCTTCCCTGCAGGCACTGAGGCGCCCTTGAAGGGGGGACTCATTAGGGAACCTCTGAGGGCAGCCACCCGTTCTGTGCCTGGGACAGCTCCGGCCCTGGGGATCTGCCCGAGAGGCCGGCTCTGAGAGGGGCTAGCAGCGGGGTGAGGGTGGGGGTGAGGCCACTAAAGGTGTCCTGGGGACCAAACAGGACTGTGGGCAGGATGCGGGTGCCAGGTCAGCGCACTGTGCTCCAGGGAGCTTTCTCCAGAAGGGCTGGGGTCGGGTGTCGGGCCGAGTCCAGTAATCTAGGGCTTGGGAAGCTGCACCTGCCTTCTGGCCCCAATTCACCGAGAAGTGAGCAGAGAGCAAAACCTCATCAGGGTTGAGTGGAGGTGAGTTTATTAGTTTTCCAAGCAGTGTGCCTGTGTGGGCCGCGTGGATGCAGAGCAGCTCCCCAGGAAAGGAGACACCCAAGGCCTGAGTGTAGGGACCGTTCCCAGGCCTGATGACCCAGCCCCCAGAAGTAGGGGGTGGTAGGCACTGGCAGGGTTGTCTAGAGGTGCAGACAGCCCCTCACAGGCCCGGAGGAGGAGGGGTCTGTCCACCCATCTCAGGGGGTGCTGAGTAGTCTCCAGCTGGTAGGAGGCAGGTACTGAAGGTGGCAGGAGGGATGGGGGACAAGGGGAAGGGGCTCCCACTCAGCAGCAGGGCTTCTGGCCAGATGAAGGGCCACTGCAGGCTGGGCGGGGGCACACGGGGCGGCAGAGCAGGGACACGCAGGAGGAGGTGGGGGCGCAGCAGGAGGAGGTGGGGGCACAGAAGGAGGAGGTGGGGGTGCGGCAGGCTGGGCGGGGGCACCCGGGGTGGCAGAGCAGGGACACACAGGAAGAGGGTCTGCTGTAGGAGGAAGGGCTGCAGGCAGGGGGCTGGCAGCATGTGGGGGATGGGCAGGGGGCAGCCCCACAGCAGACCGGTACAAAGCAGATTGGTTCACAGCAGATGGGCATGCAGCAGGCCTGCTGCTGGCAGCAGGAGGGTTCGCAAGAGCTGGTGCAGGCTGATTGGCACGGGCTGGACCCCCAGACCGCCTGGCAACAGGGGGTGGACACACAGCTCATGGGGCTGCAGACGAGGGTCAGGCAGGGGGCTGGGGCACAACAGCTGGGGACACAGCAGGTGGGCTGGCAGCAGCTGGGGACACAGCAGGTGGTCTGGCAGCAGCTGGAGACACAGCAGGTGGGCTGGCAGCAGCTGGGGGCGCAGCAGGGGGCTCACAGCAGCTCTCGGGGGGCTCACAGCAGCTCTCGGGGCACTCGTCCACCTTCCAGGAGGAGCCGGTACAAGACTCACACGAACCAGGCAGGCAGACGTGGCTGCCATAGCTCAGGTCGCTGGAGCAGATGGACGGGGTGGGGGCAGCCATGGTGGGGGGAGGCGGAGGTGAGCTGGGAGGAGGGTGTGAGTGTGAGTGAGTGAGTGAGTGAGGATCTGTCAGCCTCTGGAGCTTTTATATCCCTCCCTGGTGAGTGTTGTCCCAACCTGAGGGCCCCAGGGAGCTTCTTTCCTTGTTTGGAGCTGTCACCAAGGATGCCCACCACGTGGCTCAGCTTGTGAAACTCCCAAGAGGTTATTGTTGAGTGGGCCATGGGGCTCAGGGTGCCCATGCAGCGGGGGCTGCTGGGGGCCGACAGGTCGGGGTTGATTGAATCGATTGCACTTGGAACCACGCCTGCTGCAGGGACTGTGGGGGCCAGCAACTCCTGACCGTCCTATCTGATCATCTCTCTGTGGCTTCTTCCTATCATTTCTCCTTACCTTCTCCGCGCTCAGCTGAATCAGAAGCCTTTTCTAACCTCTTTATTTTGGGATGAAAATTTCCTCTGAATCCATAGAACAATGAACGGCTTAGGAGCTGTGTTTATTTTTATTTTCTTAGCAAACACTTATGTAATGGTTCTTGCTATGTGCCATGAACTATTCTGAGCAAGTGGACAAATATCCTCCCAACAACCCCGTGAGGTAGATGCTGTTATTATGCCCATTTTACAAAGGGGGACACTGAGGCACAATTAAACACTTGTCCAAAGGCATGTGCTAGCAAGTACATGAGCCTGGATTGGAACCCCTGCGGGCTGTGTTTCTAACCATGAAATTCTGCTGCCCTAGAACAGACAGACACTGAAAGTCAGGCCCCCAAAATCCAGATTCTGTTAGAACAGTGACAGGGAGTGCGATGAAGTACAATTTAGAAATAGTGGTGTGAGATTTAGGAGACCATATACAGATGGAAACCCTGGTGGTGTAGTGGTTAAGAGCTACGGCTGCTAACCAAAAGGTCAGCAGTTCAAATCCACCAGGCACTCCTTGGAAACTCTATGGGGCAGCTCTGTTCTGTCCTATAGGGTTGCTATGAGTTGGAATCAACTCGACGGCAATGGGTTTGGTTTGGTTTTTGGTTATACAGTGGATGCTTTGAGATCTGGGACTAGAGTCTGAGAAAGGAGCTCCAGCTGTTGTTGAGTCAACGTTGACTCATGGTGACCCGGTGTGTATCAGAGTGAAACTGTGCTCCATAGAGTTTTCAATGTCTGATTTTCTAGAAGTAGATTGCCGGGGCTTTCTTCTGAGGTATCTTTGGGTGAACTCAAACTTCCAACCTTTCTGTTAGCAGAGGGCACTTTCACCATTTACACCATCCAGGGACTCCAAAACAGGAGCCACTTCTATCTAAAGCGAGAGAATTTGGTTTTATTCATGGGCAGTCAGGGGAGAAACTGTTATTATGAAGGGAGCTTGCCATTCAGAGTGGTTGGTCTAGGGGGCCGGGAGATTCCTCTTGGGAAGTGAATTCCTTTTAAAATGAGAAAAAAAAATTCTATAGCCCTCTTGGTTGGCAACAGTGGGGAGCACGTGGGGGCAGTGTGTGCTGGAGAACGTTCATTCTGAAACGCAAAGCCCTGAATCATAGCGCTTGCCTATTTCTATGGTGTAAATGCTTCCACCATGGCTGATTCCAAGCTGTCAGCAGTTTAACACCCACTCGCAAAAGCCCTGAATGTTCAACAATTGGCTCTGCAAGCTGTTTCAGCTGGCGCTCCACAGAGGGGCCAGGGCTTGGAGAAGAAGGGGGTCTGGGAATAAGTTCTCAGGAGTCGGGGTTCTTAGCAGCCCTGAGGAGGAGTCTGAGCTAAATTGGGGTGTGATTGGTAAGAATCACTGTTGTGCTACTGGCTGATGACCTTCTGACCTTGTATGTGTATTTGTTTCCTGCCTGTTGCCCTCTTTCTGCTGCCACTTCCCCATAATTTCAGTAAAAAGTCTGAGAGGAGGTGGTTCGGGAGACTAAGGGCCAGGCACAGAGCTTTGTCCTGGGGAAGGCAAGAACTGTCTCCAGTTCATGGGTGTAGGATTACAGTGGGAAAGGTCTGAGAGAGAAAGAATGTCCTGAAAGCTGCTGGAATGGTAGGGGGCACTGGGTAGGCTCTCCACAACTTGCCAAGGGCCATCTTGCTGCTTCATTGGGATAATACAGGGTGACCTCAGAAGGCCAGAATATATGGGAACATCTGGATTAAACACATACAGGTTAAAGAGAGCAAGAGAGGGAAAGAGAAGAAACAGCGAAGGGGAGGAGTGGGGGAGGGAAGGACGAACTGACAGGTCTCTGGATTCCCCATCTCATTTTTAATTAGAGAAACCACGTTTTCATCTGTTTTACATACTAGACATCTAGGTAAGACTTTGTTTGAAAAAAATATTTCCACTGCTTTAAAAGACGTTGGGAAGCATACGACCACACAGCCGATAATGCTACTTAGTCTTAGAAAAACACACATGCTCTCTAAATAGATGTCATACCAACTAATTTGCTGTCCTGTGTTTTGCTTATTTTAAGGACTGTTTATGTTTTTCTGCTCAACCTGCTAATTTATAGCAGATTCATATTGGGGGGCATGGGATTGATTTGAGTTACCAGGATGTGAGCATTGCTCTATAGGTCTGTAGCAGCCAGAGCTGCTGATGAGAAGTCTGATGCCAGTCTTATTTTTATTTCTTCATAGGTAACTTTTTTGTTTGTTTTAATCTTTGGACACTTTTTGGAACTACTCATTATCCTCGATGTTTTGCAGTTTGAACAGGGTGTATCTGGGTTTTCTCCAACATTTTTCTTGGTATCACTTGGGTTTCTCAGTCTGAAGACTTGTGTCTTCAGTTAAGGGGAATGTTCTTCTATAAGGATTTATTTGTTTTCCTCCCTCCATTCCCTCTGTCCCTCTTTTTGGGAATCCCACACATCAGAGTTTGTATACCCTGGGTTGGTCATTTATGGTATTTTATATTCTTTGTCTCTTTGACTTTTTGTTCTAAATCTGGGAGATTTCTCAACCTCACCTTCAAGTCCCTCTATTTAATTTTGAATTATCATATTTTACTTCCAAGGTATTTAATATCTATGACCCTTTTTTGTTAAGTTTTCTGATTGTGCTTTTTAGAGCATCTTTTCACTGTTTATGGTTGTAGTATCTTCCTGAATGTCTCCGAGTACGTTTAGAATTTTTTTTTTAAGTTCTTTTTGATTCCTTATATTATGTTTCCTCTGGGGGTATATTTTTACATCCGTTTATCTTGGTCTTTGTTTTTCGTGCTACCTGTTTTCCCCATATGCTTGGTGTGAGAATGTTGTTTGATTCCTCCTCTGGTAGGGAAACTCTCCCTGTAATGAGGAAGTTGACATAAAGTTCTGTGATCAGGGTGGGATAAGAGAGATGGGAGCCCAGATGCCAGATTGTATACCTGGGGTGCCTTGGAGCCTTAGCCCGCACCAGGTGAGGTGTTAAATTTTCCTAGAGATAAACAGTGGTGGTACCCTGGGTTGAATATAGGGCTCCCGAGTAGTCTACCATGGGAGAGCCTGGCCAGGTGTCCCATGTTCAAGCGTCAGGTACCCCCTCCATTGTAGACCACTCCTCATGCTTCCTTCCACTGGGCCTGCCCTCTGGGAACAGAGCTGATTTGGAGCACCGGGGCCAGGTTGTTCCATGTGTACTGCCCCCTCTTGTAGTCAACACGTTCTCCTTTGCTTTCCATTTCATTAGCTGACATCTCTTATCCATTGTTGAATTAACTTCTCCTTGCCGTGGGTCTTGGGAAGGTTGAGCTAGGAATGGTGGGCTTAGTCCACCATCTTGAACTGGAAGCCTCAACTCTGTTTGAGTGTTGGCTTTCTCACAACTGGATCGATGTTCTTTGGCTATTGGCTAACCCAGAGGCCACCTAATTTTGCCTGAATGCTGGGATGTACCCCAGTTCTCTTTAAATGTTATTAGACCTCCACAGCATGGAGGATACTGTTTAAACCTCCCTCCCAAAGAAGGGATCCCATTTGTAGCTTCTATTTTTTAAGAAAATTTGTATTATTTTAAATTATTTAACTATTATTTTTATTTTCATTTTAATATGAAAAATTTTAAACATAGAGAAAAGTTGAAAAGACTTGAAAAGTGAGCATCCATATGCCCATCCCTAGATTCTACCACTAATGTTTTACTTTATTTGCTTTATACATAATCTATTCATCAAACCATCCCTCTATCCATCTATCAGTTCTTCTTATTTTTTGATGTATATCAGAGTAAGTTGTAGATGTCAGTACTCTTCATCCTTAGACACTTTAGCAACAATACTATGAACTAGAGTTCAATGTGGTTTTTGTGTGTACGTCTTAGTCATCTAGTGCTACTTTAATAGAAATACCACAAGTGGATGGCTTTAACAAAGAGAAATTTATTCTCTCACAGTCTAGCAGGCTAGAAGTCCAAATTCAGGGGGTCAGCTCCAGGGGAAGGCTTTCTCTCTCTGTCAGCTTTGGAGGAAGCTCCTTGTCATCAATCTTCCTCTGATCTAGGAGCTTCTCGTCACAGGGACCCCAGGTCCAAAGGATGCGCTATTCTCCTGGCTCTCGTTTCTTGGCGGCATGAGGTCCCCATGTCTCTCTGCTTGCTTCTCTCTTTTATATCTCAAAAGAGATTGGCTTAAAACACAATCTAATCTTGTAGATTGAGTCCCGACTCATTAACATAACTGCCACTAATCCTGCCTCATTAACATCGTAGAGAAAGGATTTACAACACAGGAAAATCACATCAGATGACAAAATGGTGGACAATCACACAACTCTGGGAATCATGGCCTAGCCAAATTGACACATATTTTTGGGTGACACAATTCAAGCCATGATGATGCGTGTGTGTGAAATGACACACATCGTCAGAGTAACCTTTGGTGAATGTTGGCAATTGCATATGTTTGGGTAACCCAGACCCCATCAAGACCCAGGTCATGACCATCTACCCAAGCCTCATCAAGACCTTCTCCTAGGACTTCATATAAATAGAATCATACAGTATGTACTCTTTTGTGCCTAGCACAATGTTTCTGAGATTTGTTCTGGTTGTTGCATGTGTAAGTAATACGCTCCTTCTTATTGCTGCTTTGTATTCCATTGTATGACAATATCATGGTTTATCCATTCGCCTGTTGATGGACATTTGGGTTGACTCCAATTTTTGTCTATTATGAATACAGGAGAATAACAGTGGCTTATATTTGAAAGCTTCAGCATCCAGAAGCTAACTAAAACCATTGCCAGGTGCACATTACATTGCTGGGTAGCTCTGATTTTCAGGGAACCCTTCCTTCTGCTGTGTTGAAATCCTTCTCCCTATCATACCAGCTCGTTGGCCCCAATCCAACCTCAAGGTGATGTAGTAAAACAAGCCTCTTTTCCATTTGAAAGGCCTTCAGATAATTGAAAGCAGCCACTGGCTTGCCCAGGCTCTGCCTCCTCATTCCATCACTCACTGGTATAATTCTCACTTTCCATGTTGGAGACCGAGCTTCAATTCCCAGCCTATGAACCTCATGCATAGCCACCACTCGTCTGTCAGTAGAGGCTTGCATGTTGCTATGATGCTGAACACGTTTTAGCAGAGCTTCCAGACTAACATGGACTAGGAAGAAGGGCTTGGCAATCTACTTCTGAAAATCAGCCAATGAAAACTTTATGAGTCACAACAGTCCAATCCTTAACTGATTCTGGGGATGATGCAGGACCGGGGTAGTGTTTTGTTCCATTGTGCGTGGGGTCTCCATGAGTTAGGGGCCAACTTGACAGCAGCCAACAACGACAACACCAGATTGCCCAGGCTTTGCTTCTTCATTCCATCAATTGCTTTTCATTTAATGCTGTTTCTGGACGAAAGAGCCCTGAGTAAAAGGTAATTGTATGAAATCATGAATAAAGAAAACCATCCCTTTGCATGCAAAAGCCTCAGCCACACTTTTCCCAGAAGGCCTTCCCGACACCCTAAGGGGCAAGCTCTGCTGGTGGGCACTGACTGTCCAGGGACAGCCGTCTAGGACAGGGCCCCCAGCACTGGATGGTCCAAGACAGCAAAGGCCAATGAGGAAACACCTTTGGGAAAAATAACAAAAGAAACCTGTGTTGTGGAACAGAGAGATTTATTTTTTCTTTGGTCAGTAAGCTTTCATGGGTAAGAAAGCTAAGGGGCAATACTAGGCTCTATGGGACAGGATCCATCCTTGATTTGATAATGAGATGTGTGGGAAGAATTCTGATCATTTGACCAAGATAAAGGTTTTCAGAAATCAGTAGCAGAGAACTGAGTATCCAGATGATTTGCTAGCAGCAGGAAGGGGTGCCACAGGTGACAGGTCTGCAGACGAGGCTGGGGCGGGAGAGCTGGCAGGAGGAGGCCACACACACGGTGGGCTTGCAGCTCACGGGCACACACATGGCAGGCTTGCAGCTCACTGGCACAGAGCAGCTCTCCTGGCAAGGGCTGGGCACACAGCAGGCCGAGCTGCAGGAGGAGGCCTGGCCACAGGACACAGGGCAGCACGGGGACTGGCAGCCAGCAGAGCAGCTGCTAGCAGCCCCACAGGGTGACTGACAGGAGCTGGCCACGCCACACACAGGCTGGCATAGCAGAGTCACAAAGGACACTGGGCGGCAGCAGGAGCTCCCACAGCCCAAGGGTGAGCAGCAGGCCGTGGGGACGCAGCACGAGGATGGGCAGCAGGCTGACTGGCAGCCCGTGGAGCAGAAGGTGTGGCACATGGTGGGGGTGTGGCTGGGGTGGCTGTCCAGGAGAAGGTGGGAGCTGATGTGGAGGCTCCTTCTGTTGGACGGCCTTTACATCCAGGTCCTGCGAGCGTCCAGACAACACAAAGCACAACAATTGTTTTCCTTGTTTTTTTTCCTCCAGGCTGTCTCCCATGACTTTATTCTTCTGTTTTTTTGTTTGGTCCTGAGTTTCCAGGCGAATTGCATCTCCTTCCCGCTCTTGTTTCACTTGGAAAACTGCCCATCTGTCTTACTGGCTGCATCTGGATTCTGCCTTGTTCCTTAACATTTCGCCTGAATTACTTTTATGTGATTCCAAACCTTGGCTCTCCAGATATTCATCTTGGTGTGACAATGATCTTCAAACAACCACAAATTGTACACTGCTCCCAGGTGCCCAGGAAGAATGCACAGGAGGTGTGAAGGAGGGCAGAGGAAGGCTCGCTCGTCTATGAGAGCTGGTGTTGGAGAGCTGCAGATCCACATGGAGGGGTAGGAAGATACTTGTCCATGGAATCGTGAGGGTTGAAGGGCGTGGGTCATGGGAAACTTTTTGGGAGTGGAGACATTGGATCCTAGTCAATGGAGGTGATAAAGCAGTGGAATCACACGACTCGCTCATGGCGGAGGCAGCAGACAGGAGTGCAGTGAAGCATTCTTCCTCACCTTCTCCCCTTTCTTTTCTCTTCATGCATCAGTCACAGCCCTTTGGTGTGTGATGTGCAATGCGAGACCATTGGTTGGGGCAGCACTGCTCCATCTTCCAAGGCTGAACCCATGTGTGGACCCTCACCCCCTGTGCTCGCTAGTGGTGGGCAGAGAGGAGCTCCCTCAGAAACCAGTGAGAAGTGAGAAATCACGTAATTAAATCTACTCCAGGCGTGCTTCTGGCATGTACACAGAGAGGCTCAGTGGGGCAGGATCTCTGTCTCACCTCTGCCCACATACTGCCCTCTCTGTTCCTACACACTTAGAAAGCTCATTGAGTCTGAAATGCTTTGGCCTGTATGATGTCTTAGTCATCTAGCACTACTATAACAGAAATACCACAAGTAGATGGCTTTAACAAAGAGAAATTTATTCTCTCACAGTCTAGTAGGCTACAAGTCCAAATTCAGGGCATCAGCTCCAGGCGAAGACTTTCTGTTCTTGGCTCTGGAGGAAGGTCCTTGTGGTGCATCAGTCTTCCCTTGGTCTGGGAGCATCTCAGCACAGGAACCTCGGGTCCAAAGGATGTGCTCTGCTCCCGGCACTGCTTTCTTGGTGGTGTGAGGTCCCCAACTCTCTCTGCTTGCTTCTCTCTTTTATATCTCAAAAGAGATTGGCTTAAGACACTATCTAATCTTGTAGATTCCATCAATATAACTGCCGCTAATTCATCTTATTACATCATAGTGCTAGGATTTACAACGCATAGGGAAATCATATCAGATTACAAAATGGTAGACAATTATACAATACTGGGAATCATGACCTAGCCAAGTTGACAGATATTTTCGAGGGACACAATTCAATCCATGACAGATGTCTCTCTCTTTCTTGCCATCATTTATTTCTAACATAGCCATGTTTTATGGATTTGGACACCTTCTTTCCCCTTCCTTTTTGTATTTCTAACTGTTCCTCTAGGTTCTGTCATGGAGGTAGGGGGTGGTCTGGGCATCCCATGATAAACTGCTGTCGAGTTGACTCCAACTCATAGCAACCCTAAAGGACAGGGTAGAACTGCCACATGGGGTTTCCAAGGCAGTAAATCTTTACGGAAGCAGACTGCCACATCTTTCTGCCTCAGAGCAGCCGGTGGGTTCAAACTGCCAACCTTAACCACTGTGTCACCAAGGTAAGAGAGGGAAACTCAATGAGTGTGGGGTCTGTCAAAGCACCTCCTGCTCACACCAGTCTTCTCCATCTTCATCGTCCTGATTAGAGAGTCCCACGTGGACAATGGCCTCCTGTCTTACCATGCTAAGAGTCAGCTTTGACTTTAATATCCCCTTTAGTGGCCATGTTTCCACCACATCTTCCCTCAGAGCAGCAATCCTCAAACCAGAGCATGCACGGAGTCCTGCTCAGAGCATCTCAGTCATCAGGTCTGGGTGGGGCCTGAGGATGTGTACTTCCAACGAGTTCCCAGGTGATGCCTGTGCTGTGTGGCTGCTCTGGGACCACTCTTTGAGACCTGCTTTCCACTTCTCAAGGATGTTTCTCAGAGCTCTGGCAATGTCTCTCTTTCTACTTTTAAAACGATGTCACCCAGGAATTCTGTGAGTGTTTTACACAGAGTTTTTCATCTTCCCCACTTAAATATACACGTTATATAACCCCTTGTCCCAGTTTTCCCCTATGACTCTTATGGTGGACTCACTCCCTGCTAGGCTAAGTGGCCACCACTCAACAGTTGCCTGGGTTCTGGCTGTTTCTGGGGGGTCAGGCTGTTCTCGAGGATCCTGCCTCTTCCTCTGTGAGAGTTCTTGGAGCCCCAGTCGCCATTTCTGATCTAAAAAAACAAAAACCTGTTGCCATCGAGTCAATTCCAACTAATAGTGACCCTGTAGGACAGAGTAGAACTGCCCCATAGGGTTTCCAAGGAGTGGCTGTGGATTCGAACTGCTGCCCCTTTGATTAGCAGCCAAACACTTGACCACTGTGCCACCAGGGCCCCATTTCTGTACTAGTAAAGGCTAAAACATCATCCCTCCTCTAACAACCTCTTAATAAGCCATGAGATTTGGGTGTGTATCACAGACATTTGCTTTTTTCCTTGCTTGACTGACCCTCAGGATCTCACTTTCTCTTTTCCTCTGTCCTGTCTGTTTCTCAAGATTTCAACCTTTCTCTTAGATAACCTCTCTTTCCTCTGAATTAATCAACCTATTCCTTTATTGTTCCTTTTATTCTTCTTCTATGTAGCGTGAAGCAAGTTTTTCAAGCCACTGTGACTTGTATTGCTGCCCTAGTCTTTGGGATGACAATCATTTATTTCTCTCTCTTAACCAAGAAAATACTGTATTCCTTTGATAATGGAGGCCCTATTCTTTTATATGGTTTAAAATTGGAAACAGTGTGTGGCAGTGTTGTATCCTTTCACCTTACTTTTTATTCAGTCTATATATTGAACAAATAATATTAGAAGCCTGACTATATAAATGAAGAGGAACACAGCATCAGGACTGGAGGAAGACTCATTAAAAACCTGTGAAAAGTAGATGACGCAACCTCACTTGCTGAAAATGAAGATGACTTGAAGCACTTACTGATGAAGGTAAAAGACCACAACCTTTTATGGATTATACCCAAAGATAAAGAAAATGAAAATCCTCACAACTGAACCAATAAACAACATCATGCTAAACAGTGACAAAAATTAAAGTTGTCAGGGATTTCATTCTACTTGGATCAACAATCAATGCCCATGAAAACAGCTGTCAAGAAATCAAATGACATATGGCATTGGGTAAATCTGCTGCAAAAGACCTCTTTAAAGTTTTAAAAAGCAAAGATGTCACTTTGATGACTAAGGTGTGCCTGGCCCAAACCATGGTCTTTTTAATAACCTCATATGCACGTGAAAGCTGGACAACGAAAAAAGAAGACAAGAAGAATTGATGCATTTGAGTTGTGGTTTTGGTGAACAATATTGAATATACTGTGGACTGCCAGAAGAATGAACAAATCAGTCATTGAAGAAATACAACCGGAATGCTGCTTAGAAGCGAGGATGGCAAAACTTTGTCTTGCTTACTTTGGACACATCACCAGAAAAGACCAATCCCTAGAAAAGGACATCATGTTTGGTAAAGTAGAGGGTCAAGAAAAACAAGGAAAACCCTTCATGAGATGACTTGACACTAAGACTTTGAACCAGTCCATTCTGGTTTGACCCCCTGCTGAGAATTTGCATTTCCACCCCAGATACACTGAATCAGAATCTACATTTTAACAAGGTGATCCCCTGGGAATCTTGTTAAAATGTAGAGTCTGATTCAGTATACCTGGGGTGGAAATGCAAATTCTCAGGAGGGGATCAAACCAGAAAGGACTGCTCTGAAGCCCTGATTGACACAGTGGATGCAACAGTGGGTTCAGACATATCAAAGATCATGATGATGCTGCAGGACTGGGCAATGTTTTATTCTGTTATACATAAGGTTGCCATGAGTTGAAGCTGTCTCAGTGGCAACTAACAACCATAGCATTCTTTTATATGGGTTTATTAACCAAACTGACCACCTTTCTATTGCTGAAGACCACTTTGATTTGGAAGTTAAAACTATGGTAGGAACTTACAAAATGAATGGGCTCAGAGTTGATATGAGGCCACAAAAAAAGACGAGACTTACTGGTCTGACAGAGACTGGAGGAACCCCAAGAGCATGGGCCCTGGACACCCTTTTAACTCAGTGCTGAAGTCACTCCTGAAGTTCACCTTTCAGCCAAGATTAGACAGGCCTATAAAACAAAAAATAACACACATAGTTCAACTATGTATATGAGGTTAAATGGGCACACAGCTTAAAAGTAACGATGAGAAAGCAGGAAGGGACAGGAAAACTGGATGAATGGAAATGGTGAACCCAAGGTCAAGAAGTGGAGAGTGCTGACACATTGCAGGGTTGGCATCAATGTCATAAAACAATCTGTGTATTAATGAGAAACTAATTTGCTTTGTAAACTTCCACCTAAAGCACAATTAAAAAAATTTTTCTTAATTTGAGTTTGTTTTTTTAAATAAAATATGCCAACTTACAGATCCAAGAAGCTCAGCAAACCCCAAACAGGATTAAAAAAAAAAAAAAGTAGGCACATAGCAGTCAAAGTGATGAATACCACAAATGAAGAGAATATCTTGAAAGCAGTAAGAGAAAAAGGACAGGGAACACAGCTAGGAATTTTCAATGACTTCTCACTGGAAACAATGGGACAGCTTTAATATCCTGAAAGACAAAAATTGTCAACCCTGAATTCTGTGTCTGGCAAAACAAAAAATCCTTCAA